CCAGCTCTGGCCTCTCCTGTTGCAATCAAGAATCTCAGCTTTTGCAGAAACCTGCTGGGTTGTACCTAACAATCTGGGCCAATAAAACAGGCCCAGTCTGAGCTCCAGCCTCTCCTGTCATAGTTGGGGAACTAACCTGTCTGTATAGGGACCTGCTGAGAGATGCACATCCACCTGAGCCAATGCCTGAGGCAGCTTAGTCTCAGCTTCAGCCCCTCCTGTGGAAGTTGAGGAACTACCCCAATGATGCAGTGACCTGCCAAGTGACACATACTCATCCAAGACAATGAGAGGGGCTCATCAGCCTCCCACAGCAGATCCAAAAGGCATCCAGTCTCAGCTCCAGCTCCTTTTGCTACAGTCAAGAACCCATCTGCCTATGTAGAGACCTGTTGGGAGGCATGCTTGTCTGGAGCACAGAGACAGTCTTGTGGACTCAAGTACCTGGTCAGCATTCCTACAAAGCCCCAGTACCTACCTTCAATCTTCCACAGATCCATTTGGGCCAAAAAGCCACATCAACCTTGGAGCCCTTACAAGACTCATGGCAAGCCTGGGCTTTGAGTACTCTCTAGTGCTGAGGCAGCTCAAGTGGTCACAGGCTCAGGGAAGACAACAGTCAGTGTGCTTAGAATCCCTGGAACATCCTCTGAAGAAGGACAGGCACAAACAAAAGCAGACTGCACAGACTAAGATAAATACAGAGGCTCTCAATGCACACACATTGTTACATTTCCTCAAGTATCTGAAACATTCAGGAAAACACGGCATCATCAAAAGGATAAAATAAGGCACTGGAGACCAACCTAAAATGATGGAGATGTGTAATCTTTCAAAGAACTGAAAATAGCTGTTTCAAGGAAGTTTAATAAACTACAAGAAAACACAGAGAACCATTTAGAAATTTAGCAGAGAGATTGAAATAATTTTTAAAAAATCAAACAGAAATCCTAGAGCTGAAAAATACAATGAATGAAACAAAAAATGCACTACAAAAACATCAACAGAAAAATTGGCAAACAGATGAAATGATCAATGAGCTTAAAGAGGAACTATTTGAAAATATACAGTAAGAGGAGAAAAAAGGAAAAAGAATGAAAGTAATAAACAGCTTACAGGATCTACAGAACAACATAAAAACAGCAAACATTCAGATTATTGGAGTTAAAGTGGGAACTAAGAAAAAGGAACAGAAAGCTTATTCAAAGAAATAATTACAGAAAACTTTCTAAACCTGAATATATAAATATCTGGGTAAAGCAAGGTAAAATGTCACCAATCAGATTCAACCCAAATAATGCCCCAAAAACATATTATAATCAAAATCTCAAAGACAAAAGTCAAAGATAAGATGCTAAAAGCAATAAGAGAAGTGAAGTAAATGATATAAGGGACATCCATATGCTTACTTGGCAGCAGACTTCTTAGCAGAAACTTTATAGGCCAGAAGAGATTAAGACAATATATTTAGAGTACTGAGGAAAACAAACAAATTAAAATATTGCAACAACCAAAAATACTGTACCAGCAAATTATCCTTCAGAAATGGAGAGATGAAAGACTGCCAAACAAAAGCAGAGG